GTCCTTCTAACTCCAAGCACCCACTTTTTCATTCAAACCAAACAGCAAACTGTTTGTACAGTTTGTTACAGTACAATTTCAAATCAGGTAGATCCAATCCTCCTCTTTCCTTTGCATCTTATAACACATTATATTTAATGTGGTTTTTCCCCCGGCACACAAATTTAGATATATCCTTTTGCCACTGTTTAAATTGTGCATCAGTTGTCAAAACAGGTATTGTCTGAAACGAAAATATCATTGTAGGCAAGACATTAATTTTTATCATAGAAATTCTCCCCAGCAATGACAATTGTAGTTTCTCCCAACTTAACATGTCTTTTTTTAACTTCATTCCATGTCTTAATATAGTTATTTTGAAATAATATATAATTCATATTTGTCTTGGTGATATCCAGATATTCTACTTTCTTCTCAATCTTAAAACCCATTTTATTCATCAGTTCTGTTTGATCTTCTGTTTTCATGTTTTTTGTTAACATCTTTTGTCTTTTGTTTGTTGATCTTAAAACCTGCTAATGCACTGAATTCTTTTAGTTTTCCCATTAATATTTCAATTCCCTTTAAAGGATCTTCCAAACCAATACCAAGTCATCTGAAAAGCCCTAAACTTATAAGTTTCTTTTTTAGTCTTCACAATGCTCTCATCTTGTCTTATATCTCTATTCAATATTTCAAGAACCGAAATAAACAAAAGAGGAGACAGTGGGCATCCCTATCTTGTTCCTTTCTGTATCTCACAAGGCATTGTTAGAGCTCTATTAATTATTTGTGCTTTCAGTGAAGTATAAATCAGTCTTACCCAATTTATGAAGTTCTTTCCAAAGTTCATATCTTCCAAAACTTTGAACAAGAAAGCCCAGCTTAAACAAAGGCCTTCTCTGCATCTAATGTGGCTTGTTTTTCATTATGTTGCTCCAAATATTCCAACATGTCCAACATATTTCTAATATTGTCCTTTAACTATCTTTTAGGTAAAAACCCACATTGGTCCTCATGAATAAATTCTTCCATTTCTGATCTAATTGCTGAAAGATTAATTTCCTACCGTTTTTGAGAGGGAAGCATTCAGCTATAGTGGAAACCTTAAACGGGCCTAACATTGTTTTTTAAAAGCATATACACACACACTCTAAGCTCCCAAAATCCCACACACACACAAAAAACCCTCTTTGAATCTCATGGTCCTGTCTACTCAGTGTCATTCTCCTGCCCATTGAGACTGCCACTTTTGCAAAAAGTGTTATGTGCTGTACTCAGCTTCCAAAGCATGCCCATCCTCTCCTGGTGAGTGGGAGCTCATGTGACTGCCAAACAGAGAGAGAAATGAAATCCGTATCACAGCAGTTTCTTTTTCATTCTGACCATTGTCTGTCTTCTTTGCAGCCAGAACATGCAGTGTTTGCATGGTAGTATTTAGTTTACAGAAAAATGCCTTACAGTAGGCTTCAGAACTGGAAAAGTAACAGTTACACAAGCAGCTGTCACAAGAAGAGCTTGTAAGCAGCAACCACCACAATAAGGGTGGATCCGTGCTTTGTCTTTCCTATCTGGCTGCCAAGGCAGATCCTAAAGAGGAGAGGAAACTCAGAATTCCACTAATTATGACTATGCTCATAATAATAATTCTGCTACATTTTATATAGTGTTTTCACCATTCTCACAACAGCCCTATAAGAAATTATAGAGTGAGTGCCGTTTTTCTGGGAAGACACTAACAGCTGAAGCTGTGTGGGGCTTGAAGTTTAATTTATTTGCTATTTCCTACTTTCCTACTTTTGTCATTTAGTTTAGTTTAGTTTAGTATCATTTTGTCATTTAGTTTAGTTTAGTTTAGTTTAGTATCAGCCCTTCAAGATAGTCCAGACAAGAAAGCATACTATGAGTACTAACACTACATTTATTATAAGGTTACAGTACCAGAATCTTGCAAGTCTGAAAGAACATCTCTTCCTCCCCACCACTCCTGCCTCTACTTTCCAGGTATCTAGGGAGAGAGTTCCAGGAAACTAGGGATGGATACACTCAAAGGCCTTTCTATAATCAATGAAGAACATAGTGACTTCTTTTCGGTATTCTTTGGCTTTCTCAATTATCCAGCATGCATCATCAATAATGTGCATTCCTTGGCCTTTTCTAAAGCCAGCTTGAACATCTGGTATCTCTTTATCCATGCAGGGCTCTAATACAAACTCTGGTATGTACACTAACATAGTAAATGCTCCCAGGGGATATATTTGTCCTCCCCAAGCCAACATGCCCTTACAGGTAGTCCTCGCTTAACCACCGTTTGTTTAATGATGGTTCTAAGTTACAATGGCCTTGGAAAAAGTGCTTTACAACCTGTACTCACACTTACACCCTCCACAGTCACATGATTGCAAAAAACATCCATTGGGGAATCTGGATTCACTTAATGACCATGTGATTCGCTTAACAGCCATAGTGATTCATTTAATGACCATAGTAAAAATGGTCGTAAAATTGGTCTGGTCACGTGGTGACTCACAACGACCACTCTGCTTAACAACTGATTTTTCTGGTCCCTATTGTGGTCAGTAGGTGAGGACTACCAGTATATTTAAATGCATTACATAGGAAGTAATATTGCATTTGTTTGGTTCCCTTCTCTTTAAAATCTTCATATACTAATTGAAATTTCAGTTCTGAGTATGGATCCGATCTAACCAAAGTGGCACACAAAGGAGATACTAGGAGGACTCCCAAGACTTGCAGAAGTAAAAAACAGAAATTTAAAAGGTACCCCACTCTGTTCAGCAGTCAAATGAGGGCTGGGAATTTATGGAACAGGAATGTGGGGCAGTAGGGAGACATAGATGGAAGAGCCTCTGAGGCAAGTAAGTACAGTGGTACCTCGGTTCACGAACTTAATTCATTCCACGACTCTGGTTGCGAACTGAATTGGTTG